GATTATTAGCTATTTAATTAGGGGTAGTGAATTTACAAATTGTATTTATTATATCAAATAGAATAGATCTAGAAAATATAGAGGGTTTGTATGAAAAGTAGTGTATTTGAAAACTATCAAAGTTAATAATTTGGTTATGTAGCTAATTAATTTGTATTAAGGAGATTTGAAGTTTGTTGAGGTTTAATATATGTTGTAGTAAATTCTGATTAAGTTCATAAAGAGAGTTAGAGATAGGGCATATAGCCCAATGAAGTGAGATACTTGTTAATTGATATATGTGGCAAGTATTGTAAAAACAGAAGTTTTGTTTATATAGAGTATGTGGTGCTGGAAGTTTATCAGTAAGTAACTTGACTCTAAATGTTTTAAGTATAAAGGACTGAAAGCTATGGGCAAAGTTAGAAACTTTTTGATTGTCATTAATGTAGAGCCAGGTTAAATTCTAGTTAATATATTAGGAAATATTTAGCTATGATTAGAAGCAGTTGTGAGATGGCCAAAGAGCAAAGATATTTGCATGACAGATAGTTCAAATGCTGCAACAAATAGGAAGTTCAAGAAGTTGTTTATTATAATTTAATATATATAAGGGGTTATAAATATTGATAGGTTGAATTAGAGATAGAGTAAATTGAGATAGTTGCGAGCAAGTTCATCAGCCTTGTTGTTAAATTCATCATTATAATATGCTTTGACTTTATAAAAAATAATTTCTAAATTATAAGATTTAATAAAATTGAGAAGTGTATTTCAAATAGACCAGTAAGAAGTGTTTAGAGGCTTAGTGTTAATTGTTTGTTAAGTTAGGCTGTTATATTTAGTGATTACAAATTAATAGTCTGTAAAAATTTGAATATTTCAGTTTCTGAAAGCAGTGCAAATAGCTGATAAAACTGCAAGTAATTCAGCCTTAAAGGAACAGGGCCAGAGTGAGATTTGTATCTAGAATAAATTAATAATTCTGTTGTTTTAACTTGTATCTAGCCAATACCTATAGAGCATTGAGAATTGTCTAAGTTAATTACTGATCCACCTATATAAAATATAAGGTATGAGAAGTAAAGATTAAGGTTTGCAATGTGTTAAAGAGTATTAAAAGCAATATTATTTACAAAGATTGGAGGAATTTGAGAGGCAAGTATTGAGAAATTTGGAAGTGCTAAAGTTTGGGTTATATCTTTAAGTTTGATTGAGTCTAAGAGGTCAAGAGGGTTCACATTAAAATTAAGAGATTTGTCTAGATTTAGTCTATCTAAAAACTTGGTAGTGTGACTAGCCAGAATAAAAAGAGTTTATTTGATATTGATAATGTAAAAATTAAGAAAACAATTAGAATATAGAGTTGAAATAATATCAGGAATATGGTATATTAAAGAGGAAATAGTTAAGAGGTTGTATTGCAAATATATAATTAGTATAAAGCCAGAGTTTGTAGATTGGCAACAAGCTTTGTCAATAATGGCTTGGTTATGGTAAAAAGTTAAGAGCCAAGGCTTGAAGTGTTTGTGAAAATGATCTGTACAGTAGCTATAGTAGTTAATAAGTAATAGGTAAACTACTTAAAAATAAGGCAGTTGTGTGAAGTATTAAGAATGGAATTTTTAAAAAATATAAACCATTGTGGATTTTCCCTTTAGAAATTTTGTTAAGTCTTGGTGATATATGTTTTAAGTCTAAAAAATGTGAATTGTTAATAGAAGTATGGTGGTGCCAAAGTTGTTTTTTGAAGGTAAAGTATTTGGAGTATATTAATAGTATAGATTCTAATATAATAGGTACTTCATGAATTGTGAAGGGAATATTTGTATCTAAACTTGAACTAATAGTCCAGTTTAGATATCAAAGAAACTATATTATTTTAAAATTAGTGATACAATAGTTGGGGCCATTGATAATAAGATTTGGATAAGAGAGAATTCTAGTAGCAGACCATACATTATTTTGAAGTTGTTGAATTCTGATTTGGGTAGAAATACCTAAAAAAAGATTTGTTATTGAGCTTTTGATAAAGTTTGAAATGTGATGTTGAAGTTGAATATCTTTAATATTATAAAATACTAGTAGGCAAGTATGGCAAAGCTTAGCTTTGTGTTTGATAATATTAATATGTTGTTAGAAAATTTTGTTGCATAAAGATTGATTAAGAACAATATTATGTGTTTTGTACTTTTGAGTAGAAATAATAACAATATTTATAATATAACAAACTTAAGTGTTTGTTATTTGTTTGGTGCTAGCAATTTTGGTAAGTTGAGATAATTCAGCTAGAATAAGTTGGGTTCATTTAGTGTGCTTGTTTTTGAGTATAAACTAGCAGTTTAAGAATTTAAAAGGCTAGTGTATAGGCCAGAGAGTAAGTATCACATTGTTAAATATGATAGAATTGTAGGAGTTGGGTTTGGTGTTAGAGGATAAAATAAATTTGGATGTGTTAACTTGGATATTTGCTATATTGTAGAAGGATTCAGCAACATTGAGAATATTTGTTAGCTCTGTTTGATTTGATGCAATCTACAAAGTGTTATTCATATAGGCCAAGACAGAACAGTTAGTTTTGAGTTTGTTAAATAAGTGGTTTTTGAAATTGGTTAGCTATGATATTAAAATTGTATAGTGTCAAGTGAGTACGCACTAGACAGTCTCTTAGTGCTAGTTTAGCTCAGATCGGGGCACTTTGGGTTCACCAGCAAACTCACAAGGCTTGGCAACACCTCCTTCGATTCCAGAGCAACACCTTAACTTTATGAAACACACACACATGCGACTACTTGAGAAACTACCAGTTTGTATTTTATTTAACTAAGTGATTTCTTGTTATTGGGAAAGAGAGAACTGGATTCACTTATGAATCCTTTATTCTATTTATATCAATTCTCTAACTACAAATTGGTTTCATCAAACCATACATCAATGACTACATATTTAATGCAAGATTGCGTACAAATAATAATAGACTACATCTATGATATATATATTACAAATAAACTATCCATGCATGAAGTCATTGGTCTATCTGATTAGTGTCTATTACTCTGATCATCACGGGCACCACGTGTTCATGTGATGTTATGATCGAAATCCAAATCTTGACAACCGAACATTCACCGAACGTAGTATACAGGAGTTTGACCACCATCGTGACATATAGCCAGTAAAGATAGAGTATATATATATAATAAGTAGATCATAATATATACACCAAAGCAAAAAGATAATAGTCTCTCTTTGGTCAATACTATTTTGAACTTGATATGAAGAAGTTAGGCCAAAATTGGTTATAACTTCATTATAGCAGTTAATGAGCAAATCAGTAAGAATATTAATGATAGTTTGGAATAAGAAAAAACAGCAAAGAGATGTTTGAAGAGGTTAAAGTTAACTAAATCATAAGCTTTGCTTATATCTTGTGATAGTAGACAAAGCTTTTTATAATTACAGTTAGTATCTTTGATAAAGTTGTTGAGAATATAGATAAAGATAGATGTACTATTGCCTGATAGAGCAATATAATTAAAAAGTAAAAGAATAGGATGTTGAAAAATGACTTGATTAAATCTGTCTATTAAAATTTTGGTGTATATTTTCTAATGTGTTCAATAAGACTGATTGGTTGAGTAAGGTTTAGGTTTCTATCAAAAGTATTTTTTTTAGTAATAGATTATATTCTGCCATGTTTCCATAGCTTGGATATTGTATTTAGAAATAAGCAATAGTTGAAAAGTGTAGTAAAAGCAGTGATGTAGTATTGGTTCAAGTGTTTAATCATTTCATAGCTAATACTGATAGGGCTACAAGCTTTGCTATTAGAAAGCTTAAAAATAGTTTGAGGAACTTCATCTTTAGTTATAAGGCTAGTAAGTGGTGTAACTATTCAGAATTGATATGGGGAAGTGGTTGTCAAAAGCTATTAAAAATGGTTTGATCACAGATTTGTGTACAGTCCAATTTGAAAAGTGTGATTGGATATGTTGTTTGATTTCAGCAGGGTTGGTAATAAGCTGGTTGAGAAGTTTGATATTGGTAAAGTGTACAGGAGGTTGGTATTAGTCAAGTATATTATTAATAGCTTGGGTGGGTTTTGAGACAAGTGTTTTATATCTTTTTTCAAAAGCCTGATTGATTTGTTAACAAAGATAAAGAAAGTTTTCAAGATGATAAGTATGATAGATTTGTTTTCAAATACAGTCACATCTCGTTATAGTCACTGGTTTGAGATATAAAATTTAAGTAATTATAAAAAGGTGTGACTATATTAAAAAATCTTTATATAGTTACTCTAAAAAAAATATGCCTATATAAAGGTAATTAATACCTTAACAAAAATTAAATTGAAATAGCTTATAACAGTTAATGTATGTACTATATTACTACTTGCATATATTTTATATACTAACTAATTTGTTTAATATCTAGTATGTATGTATATTTTTATCTTTAAATAAGCTATGGCCACTTATATATCTATCTATCAATGAAAGTTAGATCTCTTTCAAATTCAAGAGACATGATTTTAATCCTGTACTAGATCTATCATGATTTTGTAAGATCTATAAAAGAACTTTGTCTTAAAAATAACCTTATGATATTATATACTATAAGATTATTTTCAAGACAAATATCTTATAATATATATTTTTTATAGAGCTATTAAGAAGTGAAACATATACTGTATCAAGAGGCAATATATAGATACTTATTTAACTAATATACTACTTTTTTTTAAAAAAAAAAAAAATTGAAACCTTAGTAAGTACTATATTAAAGTAATATAATATCTCAATCAAATTTTCTATTATATAATACTGTATTGAGATATAAACTTGATAGAAGAAAATTAATATGTATAATATGAAAAAAGGTTTATATTGACTAAAAATATAAATTTTGAAAATAAAAAAAAGATGAATTTGGAGAATATAAATCTTGTAGATATAAACTCTGCAAATATGTCTTTTGTGAATCTGAGTCTTGGAAAGATAAATCTTAAAAAGTTAAAACTAGAGAATATGAGTCATAAGATATGAATTTTGAGGATACGAGTCTTGGGAGTATAGATCTTGAGATGGATCTTGAGGATATGAATCTTGGAGATAGAAGTTCTGTAGATATAAGTCATTGGAGTATGAATCCTGAGAAGTAAAAAAACTAGTAATCCTTGATTGCTTTTTTGACTTTTTATTTACATGGTTATACTTTTTGAATAATTTTTTTAAAAACTCTAATTCTTTTAATGACAGATTTGATTCTGAATTTTCCTGCTCTTTATAGCAAACAATAATTTTCATTGCACTATATACTTCAGCAACTGTTACTAGTGGTTTAGGCACCTCATCATCTTTCTTAGTTGTTTGTCTAGTTGATTTATCATTATTTTCCTTAGCTTAAATCATAGAAATTATTCCTTTATCATCAAGTATTTCTTCAGTGGCAAGAGGTTTATCATTAGCTTATATATATATTAACTTGGCCTTGACAGTTTCAGCTATATATAAAATTTCATCCAGTAAATTAAAAATTATGATTTTAATTTCTTCATTATCTAACAGAACATCATTTTTAATATGCTGAACTACAATATTCATTTCTGACTTATTTTTATTTAAAAGAATTCCAGTTTTGTACTAACAGTTCTAAATAGTTGTATTGTTTACTTGGTCCTACAACTCTGCAATAAATCAATCACTTGTTTTACAGATAGCTTTTTTCAGTAAGAAAAAAGCAAATTAGTTATATTATATTTATTATAATATATCCAAGTACTTAAGTATGATATTATTATACTTAAGTACTCAGATATAAATTAAAGATTAATCTCCAATATGCGGTTCACAGGGTATATATATCAAATAAATATGGTAATTATTACAGCTAAAGCTAAGAATTGGTCTTATTTTAACAAATTATTAAATTTTTTTTGATTTTGGTTTTTTATAGTTGAGAATTAGATTTGTTAATTAAAGAATATAAATAGGCTTTAGTGGGCTTATATTTTTTTTAAAAAAAAAGTCTCAAGTCTCAACTTCAGCTGTGACAATAATTATATGAACTTTTTCATATTAGCATTAAATTTATATAGTTTTAGAATATGCTTACAATATAGACATTTATACTTTGATTTGAATGACTTGATTATACCAGCATCTATTGACTATAAATATGCAGTTGTATTGGGTGGTAGATAATAAAGAGTAATATTTGTAAGTTTTAATACCTCTGAAGGTTCCCTTATTTTTTGTTGATGAGAAGTAGTGTTGGTAGTTTTCTGCCTTCTTTGTAGTCTTCTCTGCGTACTTTCTTGTAGTCTTTCCATTGTACTTCCTCATATACTCCTTTGTGTACTTTTCTGTAGCCTTCCAAATGATTTTCTTTCTCTTTTACTTGGTTGTTCATTATTTCATTACTTTCAACATTATCATCAAAGTTAATTTTATCTATATTATTAATACTAGATATTTCATTGGTATTATTAGACACCTCAGGTAAACTATAAGATAGTATATTATCTACAAGAAGTAGAATTTTTCTATTTTGGAAGCAAAAATCAGAATCAATAAAATGCAATTATTTTTTCTAAATATCTGATATCATCTATGCCTATTAATTATTTTTATATGTAACTAGGAGCTGTGATACATTTATGCCATTGAAACTTCATAGTTTTTTTGAATAGCCAATAACTAGTGGTTGAAGTTTGTAAGTGTCTGTAGCATTTGTAGCAAGTAATACTACAACATGCTATTTATTCTGTATCATCATAGTTAAGCAAAGTAATTTGGAGAATTTAAATTTTGAAATTTCGAAATTTATTTCAAAATTTCAAAATTTTAAATTTAAAATTTTGAAAATTTGTGATTTAATTATACTAATAGAACTTTTTTACTTGTTTTGATTCAGGAACAGGTCATTTAGCTAATGTTTGATTTGGCAAACATCCAATAAACCAAACCAGTTTTGTCAGTATTGTATATATCTTCCAAGTTATATTGAGAAATAAGTCTTTGGAGTTTTATTCTTTTATTTAGTATGGATTCTAAAGGCGTCCTTGCTGCTTTACTATGAAGTTTGTACCAATATAAAGAATTTCAGTTTATATAATTGGTTATTTATTTATTTGAGAACTTTAATTCATCAGAAATACCTAGAAGTCTACCAAACTCATAACTCTTCAATTTTATTAATTTATCTATAAGGACCAAACTGGTAGCTAAAACTTGACTAATCCAAATATTTATTACTTTTTCAAGTGAAGGATATTTTGGTCCTCTATTTTTATACCAGTTTTGTATTGCTATATTTCTTTTAAGATTCAAATATTGCTCTTTTTTTAAAAAAATCTTAGAAATGGTTGAACTATCAAGACTTAATTCGAGGTATCTTTGCATAAATTTATCAGCAATATTTTGCTGTTTTGTCAATAGATTTTTATTAGAATATTCACAAATTTCTTTATGCTAAGCATTGTTTAATTGACTGTATGTTTTTTTAGGCATGGGACTTGGAAGTATAATAAGAGATTATACAGTCAACTCTCTTTAAACCAAATAGCAGGTTCTTATATGTAAAAATATTTAAAAGTTCAGTTTACAAAGAGTTATTATGTTGCTAATCCAAACTTAATAATAAATTTTACAAAT